AACCTAAATATTGTAAAGCACTGTCCATAGCTCTGCATTGTCCATTAAATTCTGTGCCAGATGCATGGAGATATTCCTTTCTTCTCTATCATGGAATCTGACAAGCAAGTGATTTTAAATTATAAATTGCTACACTAGTGGGTGGCTCTGCAAATTTTCCTGGAAGATGACCCAAAATTTTGGGTGTTGAGCACTTAACTTTGTCTGTCAATAAAGAAATTAGACTGAAGAAATTCTTAAAATGCCACCTTGATAGAAAGAAAGTGGCTTCTGAGTGAGGCACGTAGCCTTCAGTTTGTGAGGACCTGAGCTGTGGAGTTCAAAGCCTCTGTTGAAGCAATTTTTTATCTATCAGGAATCAAAACAAAGACCTTCACAGGAATAATAATCTTATGCCTTGATGGTGGAGCCTTCAGCTCCTGCTGCCCTTGATGGCTTCAACTGGAAGTCAATGGAGATAGAGCAACACAACTGATTTCAGAGGCACCATCTCTCAGGCACAAGGATAAGAGGCTTCAAACACTCACTTTCTGTGTTTACATGCTGCTCTGCATCACTGGTGCCCCAGAAACACTACACAAGAGTGCTCTTAAGCCTTGGCAATAGGAAATTAATCTCATTTATCTGAACCTGCTTTCCCCTAGGTCACCACACAGTACATTTTCATGTGTCCATCATTGCCTAAGAGCACACACTGGAATACTTACTCCATGTCAGCTGTCACTGGGCAATTTATTAAGCCATTATAACCTGTATTTGTGTCTGAGCTTGTTGATTTGTTACCACTTTCATAAAGCAGATATGCTATTTCTAGACTGAGGAGCTGTGCTGTGCAGCCATCCACGTGCACACAGACACACTTCCTCAGCAAGCCAAGTCTTGCCTGCTCCCTGGAGGCATTTAAAAGATGTGTAGGTATGGGACTTAGGACATGGCTTAATGGTGGCCTTGGCAGTGTGCTAGGTTCATGGTTGGACTTGATGATCTTAATGTTTTTTTCCAACCCAAATGATCCAAAAGAAAAAAATGGAGACATTAGAAAGAAGCTATTTGACGTAATCTCCTCTCTTTCCTGTGCCAGCACTTCCATTTGCACCAAGGTTGAGCCACAACTGAGCCTAATAGAGTGAGAAATTCTTTCCTGTGAGGGTGATGAGACATTGAAACAGGTTGCCCAGAGAAGCTGTGGCTGCCCCCTCCCTGGCAGTGTTGAAGGGCAGGTTGGATGGGGCTTGGAGCAACCTGGGCTGGTGGGAGGTATCCCTGCCCATGCAGGGGGGTTGGAAGCTTGATGACCTTTAAAGTCCCTTCCAACCCAAACCACTCTGTGATTCTATGACAGCACTTCAGGCCTTGCCCACTTCCCACGCAGGTCGCCCACACGCATCCGTATCTGCTGAGTTCAGCTGGCAACTCTTACATCTGCCATCCCTCACGTCAGAAGCAGGTCTTTGCCCCCTGGCTGTGACCCTCAAAGATTATTCAAGCATTTCTCTTCCAGTGCTTTTAACAGGGGTTATGTAACTCAGCCTTTGAGGGACCAGGCCTTTCTATTTTGTCTCTTGGGAATACTCATTCCATTTTTTTTGAGGCAGCCTTGTGAGTATTTCTAAGATGGTGATTAGCTCTATCTGGTCTGGCCTCTGTGCAGATGACTCAGAGTTCAGCTGAGGTGTAAAAATAGAATTATCTTGGTAAATGGGGAAACTGTCCCAATTCTATGCTCATCATTTGCAGGGTAATGGTGCTTGTGAGCACAGCTTCAGCTTCAGGTAAAGCAACCGCAGGGCAGAAGCTAAAGGGAGACTCTGTGCTGTGAGGGTGGTGAGAGCCTGGCCCAGGTTGCCCAGGGAAGCTGTGGCTGCCCCATCCCTGGCAGTGTTGAAGGGCAGGTTGGATGGGGCTTGGAGCAGCCTAGAATGGTGGGAGGTGTTCCTGCCCATGCAGGAGGGTTGAAACTGGATGATCTTTAAGGTCCCTTCCAACCCAAACCATTCTATGATTCTATGATAACTGCACCTTATCCAATGAGTTCAGTGGGACCATCCAAGCACAAAGGTGTTGCCTGAGATAAGGAAGTGCTTTACAATCTCTCTTGCCATGGAAATAAAGCCCAATGTGAAATGAGATCCACCTGGTTTTGCCCAGCTGTGTAGTCTGAAGGAGACTTGCTCTTCCCACTGAACAGGTAGCAGTCACATTTGGTTTCCACCCCAAGGAGCAGCAAAAGGAGCAAAGGAAAAGTTCACTGCTTATGTGAAGTAGAACTTTCTCACCATGCTCGTTTACTCGTGGCTGACCTGAACCACCTTGCCCTGTCCACAAACTCCTGTGAAACACAGCCAAATAGTTCCTGTTGGCTTCAAGAGATGGATGTTGCAATGGACTGGCTTCAGTTCTTGTTTCTGAGCTTTTTGAAGGCATTTAATTTCAATTTAGGATTCTGCTGAAGATCTCTATCATGTTCCTGTCAGAACACAAACTTGGCACATCCATCTCCTGGGTCTACATTTTCACCATTAGGTTAAATAAAGAGATTTGCATCTGCCAAACAAGTTCTGTGGAATATTATCCCCACATCTGTTGATAACTCTGTATTTGCAGATCACTGCTACAATCTAAGTCTCACAGCAAAACAAATGTCAGAGGGGAAAGAAGAAATAAAAAAAACCAAACTCTACAGAAAGCTCCTCTAAATCATACAAGAGGTAAAAAACAACAGGAAAAAAGCAGAGGGAAAGAATGGAGACGTTTGCAGGTTTGTTGTTGGAGAGCTTAGAATACTTTTGTGTGTCTGGTAAATAAAATATAATTGAAGTCTTCTTGCTGCAACAGGTCATGCCAAATTTAGCAATTTGCTTCCTTCATCTGAAATGCTGGGAGAAGCCTCTGTTCCTTTGGATTTTACAGCCTTGAATCTTTTCTGGAAGAGGGGGGTGCTTTTATCCTTTTTTCTTTAAAGGAACTAAGCACAGCACTTTCTCTTCTAATAAAACCCTGTTAGTGCTTTGGCTTTGCCTTCTTCTAAAAAGCACAGTGGTCAGAGCACTCTGTAAATTGAACTGTTTGTTCAAATCTCTTCTCAGACCGAAGGAGCTCAAGGCCATATCTAACCATTAGACACTAAACCTTCAGTAAATTGTGTATCAGGCTCTGGGTGTATGAACTCATACCTGGGCCTCCCAAGTCAAAGCATTATCCTGCAAGTTTAATGCAGAAATAAACCAATTATTTAACCTGATTTAAGGCAGCCTAGTTCAACCAAAACCACACAAACACAATGGATTTTACAGCTCTTTCTGCAAAGAGATGAATATTAGGAGAGGCATTTTGACTGCATTTCATGTAGGCATATTTTTCCCCGTGGCCTAAAAGGTTGCACAACATGTTGGGTGAAGACAGGTGCAGCTTTTGCAAGGCAGATTTATTCCACATATTTTTATAGCCCTTGTGCATCATTCAGCCATTCACCCTGAGCTGGCATTTAACATGAAAACCCTCTGTCAGGGAGAAACACACACAATGGTGGCCACCCTGAGTCTGCCTGAAAGCACTCTGGCTTCCAGAAGCTGTGGATTCTGCAGGACAAAGTCCTGTATTCATACAAAGAAATGTTTCTGGATGGCTGGCTGGAGCAAACACTTCTCATACAGCTTTCTGCAGTCCTGCCTCAGTCACGACCCACTGCAAACTCCCACAGAGGTGAGAGGTTGGTTCAAACTCCATGGCTCACTGGGTTCTTGGCTCCTCTGCTAGTTAGTGTTGGCAGTTATCTGTGGCAGCAGACACCAGGCAATTGTTGATTTCATTTTATATGTCATTCTAACTATTCATAGACCTTCACAATTAAACCCCACTGCTAAAAAATACAGATCCCAGTCAACCACAGAGGGGAAAAAAACCCACCAGCGTGTCACTGCAACAGGAAAGCATCGTGCTATAGAGAAGTTCCTGGGGAAAAGATGGGAGTAGGCTGCTCTTTGATACCAGCTGAGGGTGCTGAGGCAGAAAGGTCATTATAACAGCAGGGACAGGACTCAGGGTAAGGATGCAGTAAAGCCAGAAAGCAAGGAAGAAAAAGGGTGGATGGAAAATAGGATCTTTTTCTGGTGCTTCATGATATAAAAATGAAACAGAGCCAGAAGGGATCTGCAGAACTCTTGTGCCCAGTCTCCTGCTACTACCAGCAAGCAGCTCATTAAGAATTTATTCTGAGGGTTCCTTTTTTCAAGTTTTTTGGCTGGCTTCTGATCACATCTCTTTATTTTGGTGACTTCAATTTCCTGCCTAAATTTATTCATGACTAGTGTCCTCTTACGTCAATATGGCCTTCAGATAAACAGCTCCTCTCCCTCCTCTATGCTTGTTCCAGCTGATAACACTGAATTTGAGAGTGAAAAAAATTTAATAATCCCTACTCCTTTATTCCCCCCATTTATCATCCCAGTGGGGAAATTTCACAGTTGCAGAGGGCTAGGGTGGGATGCAGATTCAGAGGAAAAACAGACAACGATGTCTGCATGTAGAGTTCCTACTTAAAATCCTGCAGAGATGTGGTTGTTGTGATCAGTGGAGCCCAGAGACCCATCCAAATGCAGGTGTCTTCTACAAAGAGAGGTGAACAGGTCTCCAGACTCCATATATTAATTAGAGCTCAGCTGTCTATGGCTGCACTTTGCACACATAGCTCATGGGTAGGTACTTACCTCATAAGTACCAGGACTGAGAGGTGGACACAGAACCAACAGGAACCCCAAAATCTCATAGAGCCCCTCAGAAAGGACCAGACACCTATACATTTTGGACCCTGCTTATTTATTTTATGCATTTTCCATCCAAACCAACCCACAATAGCCACCTTTTTGTTTCTTTCCAATGAGAAAACAATGCAAATCCTCCCAAAGAAATGTCTGATGTGCATCCGCAGGGTAATTTTTGGTGTATTGCTTAAGAGGGGCAACAGAATAAAGGTGGAAACTTGCTGGCACGTGACTACTTACTGAACTCACAAAGCAGTGCTCAGATTCTCCACTTTCAAAGAGGATGACATCTTTTATGAAGACAGCAATGGCCCTCATGATGAAGGACATGAAGAGGTGCATATGAATATAGTTTCGGGTACAGTGCAGTTTTCTGTTGGGAAGAGATGAAACACCATTTCAGAAGAGCAAAGCTTCTCAAAAGCATTTTTCATCAATTTGCATGTTTCTCCTGCCAAAATACAGACTTACAATTAAACATCACAAACCCTGAGACAGACCACGTTCTGATGGAAACCACCCCAAATCCACTTAAGCCTTTTTAAATCCACAAAACATGTGGCAATCCATAGATCTGCAGCTTTTCCAGCAGTTCTCAGAAAAAAAAAGGTCAAAGCACAGAATGACAGAAAACAGGTCCATCACATTACTCTCCACTGGAAAAGAAATGTTTTTGACTGAGCAATCTGTGCTCATGATAAAGGTCTGTCTTCTGCAGAATGTTTGTCCTGCAATTATTCTTTTCCAAGTGAAATGTTTCTTCAGAAAGAGAAGTAAATTCTTAGCAGCTGCTGCCAAAATTAACACATATTACAGGGTTTCTGCAGCAATAAGAACTGCATTTTCACTTCAAAATGACTACTTATTAGTGATATTGAGAACATCAGCAGGGTTTGTCTGTTCCTTGCCCATTTACATTTTGAAGGTGAATTTTGATGAAGTAGGTTGTATTTTCAAACAAGGCTCGACATCAGCTAAACTGAAGTGTCTAATCCTCTGGAAATGGATACTTCGTACAGTCACCAGAACCACACCAGACCTCACTCAGCAGCATAATCAAATTACCACCTCTTACTGAGTCCCTGTGCATTGGCAGAGGTTATGCTTTTAATCTCTGACCACGGCAAGAGAATGTGACTGAGTTGGGTCCTCTGTGCAGGTGAAAGCAAGTCAAATGATGCTGTTTCCCACAAGTGAAGAACATGAACCCCAACACTGTCACCAGCTTGGCTGGCACCTTGCTGAGATGAGATAATTTGCACAGGTGTCTAATTCACTCCTCCCTACTAAGAGAAGTGAAGAGAGTGTGTGTGCTGAGATGTGTAAAGACCTTGAAGGATGAGACCTGGGTATAAGTGTGAGTTACCCTAGAACTTGTGCTGTTTGCTACAGCTTTCTTTGGGGGTCATGTCTGGACCAGACTGTCAGAAGCTGGAAAATCATTAATGTGTTTCAGGGAAGTCACTGGTGAGTAGCATGAGGAGGTGGAATCACATCTAGAAGGTTCTTCCATCTCATGAACATCTGCTTTTTGCTCTTCTCCATACATGTGAACAACGTTATAATTGCAGATTGCCTTATATGAAGACTTCCTCATTGGAGGGATCTAAATTTAGGTGACTGAATCTATTATCATAGAAACATAAAATGATAGAATGGTTTGAGTTGGAAGAGACATTAAAGGTCATCCAGTCCCACCCCATTGCATGGGCAGGGACACCTCCCACCAGCCCAGGTTGCTCCAAGCCCCATCCAACCTGCCCTTCAACACTTCCAGGAATGGGGCATCCACAGCTTCCCTGGGCAACCTGGGCCAGGGTCTCACCACCCTCACACAAAAGAATTTCCTCCTGGTGTCTAAATTATAAACAATAGAGGCTGAACATTAATTTGCTGCAGTCTAGGCCTCTAATGCCATTTGATTTGCTGCAGAGCATCTGCCCATCAGTCCATAAGGGTGTCGGTTTCCTGAAGGCCCTGCATTATATTTCCTAAACTTGTGCACATGTCAGAGGCTCCAGCATGTCTAAAATGGCTCTGGGATGTCTATGTCTTACCATGGAGCTTTGTGGGCTATAGAAGGAAGCAACTCTAAAATAGACTTTGGGAGGCAGTTTTGGGGTGTGTTTCATCTGTTTGAGTAACTTCTTAACTTGAAAGAGATAATCCCATGGTATCCATATACACCCCACTGACAAGGTCTCTGGGGACTCTAATAAGATTGTGGGATAATGGCCATAACAATTGATGTTTAGTGAAATGAAGCCCACTTAAATAACTGGTTTGGGTTATAACTCTCAAACAAAGGCCACAAATCCCACTGACACCAAAAGATGGAGGAACTCTCCTCCCTTGTCCAACTAAGACCTGGCAGAAATTTTTTACACACACTTGTAAAGCTCATGACCTGTGTCCAAAGCACTTGATTTATTTGGGCTTAAACAGCCACTATGTCCTTTGAGTCATCCCCTTACCTAGGCCTTTTCTACCCCTGGTCTTACCTGAAGAGACATAAAATGATCATGGCAGCTGTGAGAGCTATGAGTGATAAGGTGTGTCCGATGGTGTAGCCAGTCTTGACCGTGCCGTAAAACGCCGTTTGCTGAGGGGGAGGAAAGAAACAGATCAGGACTCTCCAAGATCTACCACCATGCACTGCTACACACACCATCACTGAACGTGTACTGACGTCCTCGGGGAGACAAGGAAACCAACCCCTTCACCCTGTAAAATCACATCTATTGGAGCACATGGCTCAGTTACCACTGGTGTGAATAGGAATCACAGAATCATAGAATGGTTTGGGTTGGAAGGGATCTTAACCATCATCTAGATCCAACTCACCTGCATGGACAGAGACACTTCCACCTCCCACTAGACTCAGAGCCCCATCCAGCCTTGAACACTTCCAAGGATGGGGCATCCACAATCTTCCTGGACAACCTGTTCCAGTGTCTCACCATTCTCACACTAAAGAATTTCTTCCTAATGTGCAACCTAAAACTTCTCTCTTCCAGTTTTAATCCATTACCCCTTATCCTTTCACTACAAGCCCTTGTAAAAAGTCCCTCCCCAGCTTTCCTGTAGCCTCTTCAGGCACTGGAAGGCCACTATGAGGTCTCCCCAGAGCCTCCTCTTCTCCAGGCTGAACAACCCCAACTCTCTCAGCCTGCCTCCATAGCAGAGCTCCTGCATGGAGCCCTTTGATTATCTTTGTGGCCTCCTCTGGCCTTGCTCCAGAAGCTCCATGTCCTTCTTATATTGGGGGCTCCAGAACTGGACACAATACTCCTGGTGAGATCTCACAACACCAAACTGTGTGGTGAGGTCAACATGTTGGAGGGGAGGGATGCCATTCAGAGGGACCTTGACAGGCTTCAGAGGTGGCCTCATGCAAACTACATTAAGTTCAACAAGGCCAACTGAAAGATTCTGCACCTGGTTGGGGCAGAATCCCAAGTACAAATACAGGTTGGGTAGGACAACGGATTGAAGACAGCCCAGAGGGGAAGGACTTGGGGGTGATGGTGGATGAGAAGCTCAACGTGAGGCAGCAATGTGCGCTTGCAGCCCAGAAACCAACAATGTCCTGGGCTGCATCAAAAGAAGAGTGGTCAGGAGGCCAAGGGAGGTGATTCAACCCCAGAAGAACATGTCCAGTTGTAGCACAGCTTGGTCACACCAAACCCAGGTTACAGTTACACAAGGGAAAAGTTCATGTAGGATGGAGTTTGATTTGACACTTGCAGAGACAGGTACAAGGTTATAAACTTGTGGAACAAGAATGACTGATGTTCAGCCAAACAGCTGCCTGACACATCAGCTCTGAGGTGGTGAGTGTGATGAACTTCACCTCAGGCTCACTAAGGAAGTTTGAGGACAGAACTGGTCTGGAAATTTGTTTACTTTTGTGGAACTATATCATAGAATCATAGAATCCCTTCTGAGGGGGACAGAAGGGCCCATTTGTCGGCCGGACCCATCTCACAGGGAGGTCTGTTGCCTCCCTGGGGCTCGGATTAGGGTGACCTCATCAATGTTTACAAATATGTAAGGGGTGAGTGTCAGGGGGATGGAGTTAGGCTTTTCTCAGTGATGACCAGTGATAGGACAAGGGGTAATGGGTGTAAATTGGAGCATAGGAGGTTCAAGGTGAATATCCGAAAAAATTTTTTTACTGTAAGAGTGACAGAGCACTGGAACAGACTGCCCAGGGAGGTTGTGGAGTCTCCCTCACTGGAGACATTCAAAACCCACCTGGATGAGTTCCTGTGTGATGTACTCTAGGTGACCCTGCTCTGGCAGGGGGGTTGGACTAGATGATCTCTCGAGGTCCCTTCCAGCCCCTAAGATTCTATGATTCTATGATTCTATGATTCTATGAATCATAGAATCATAGAATGGTTTGGGTTGGAAGAGATGCTAAAGATCATCTAGATTCAACCCCCCTGCCATGGGCAGGGACACCTCCCACCAGACCAGGTTGCTCCAAGCCCCATCCAACCTGCCCTTCAACATGTCCAGGGATGGGAATTCCATAACTTCCCTAGGAAACCTCAAAGTTAGATGCTGCGTTTTGCTGAGTAAAAACTTAAACTGTTCTCATTGAAATCAGATATGTTGATTCAGAAATTAGTCCATGGTTTTTCTCTTTGGGAACATGCAGAGGGAACCTCTGAGCACGGAGCATCACAGGACTTAAATCCAGCAGAGAATCTTGTTTTAAATAAGATGGGAGAGTAAGGCAACATAGCTCTCCTAAGGTTCTCCAGCAACATTCTAAATCAGTATATTTTGATTTTCAGCTTAAAAAAAGGACAAATGATCAGTTGGTATTTAGATATTTGCTTTATCCATGAAAAATCCAAGTTTTTATGAGAATCTAACTCAACTTGTGGAAAGTCTTATTGTTCCAGCCCTTGGACTGACCCTCCTCTGCTTTTCTTGCCATCATTTTCTATTAAAAAACGCAACCCCCCTAAAATCATAAAGGGCAGTTTAAAAAGCAAATCTAAACCCAGGCTTGTTTTGGAAAACCCTCTTTAATAACAGCAAGGGTTTGACATTTTTATATGCTCTTTTCAGAGGCCTTGACAAGTACTAGGTACTTTACAGAACCAGTGAGGCTGAGATGAGTAGTAATCCTCTACTATTTGCACAAGGCAGCTTGGGGGTTGTTAAGACAGAGCTTCCAGAGAGTGCAAAAGGTTAAACTGGTCATATCTACTTTCTTTCTGAGACCAGAGATCTGAGAAATGGCTAAAAATGTGGTGCCTTTGCAGCCCCATTTCAATGCATCCACAGCACTGAGAGCTTTGGGTCAGAAACTCTGAAAACACAATTCAAGCAATGATTTTAGGCTAATTTATCTACCTCATCTCATCTATATGACGCCAGGAGGCTGCTATGGTGATGGAGTCACCCGGTGTGGCATGGTCATACCTAAGGTTCCACCCTTCTACCTCACTGTCCTGCACATCCCACCTAAAGCTGATTATATATAGGCTTGTTTCCAATTTTGTTTGAGTTTGTGTTCAGGCCTTTGTCCCAAAGACAGCTGAGACCCTTCCAACAAAGGAAGTCAAATTCTTTCATGTTGATTCAAGATCTTTTTTCATCATCTGGTGTCTTTCTTGATGGCACCAGAGCAGAAGTGTTCCAGCAAAGACCTGACCAGCAGAAGGAAGGAACTTGTGGTGTGAGACTGAGCTTGAGGAGGAGATTGTCCCACACTAGCTTTAGGAGAGCAGAGAAATAGGGGAAATTAAAAGATATAATAGGAGATGCCAGTAGTGGGGTGGTGGATGGAAACTCTCTGGTGTGAACACAGGTAAAGACCTTTTGCTTCTTAGACTTATTCACAGTTATGCACAGCAAGATGCAATAAGCAATTCCCTGCTTTTATGGTTTCTAATGACCAGTCCTTCTTGTATACAAAGAGATGTCTCTGCATTCAGCTTTAATGTAGCATCATCTGTCATCTCTGTTCTGCAAACAGCACATAAGGACTTCTCACTCCTCTGTTGCATTTGCTAATGACAGTCACTTCCTATTTTACAGATAACAAAGCCCTAGATAACTAATGGAACTGGAATTTCACTGAGCACTCAGATTACTAAAATATTCTTGTTAGAAAACAAAGGGATTTAGAGAAGGAAAGGCATGTCCAGGGTGCCTGGGTTCTAGGTGTAGACCTAGACCAATTTACAGAGTGAAATGAGGCAATTTAATTGTTTTCCCTTTGAGTTCTAAAAGTCTCTGTTTAACTTCACAAATAGTTAAGGTAGATGCTAACAGAAGATGAACTAAGCATTAACTGTTGATTTCAGTAACCTCCACATTTCTCTCTTGGCAAGTGAGATTAGAATGTGAGACATTTACATTTGTCAGAGAAGAAGAGAAATACTGATATCAAGTCTTTCAGTACCCCTGCACCCAAACATGCTTTGAGCTGACATCACCATGCCTAAAGTCAACTGCGCTCCCTCTAGAGTAAGTGCAAAAAGGCTCCTTTGGAGAGAAATGTGGGGTGAACTGACCTCTGGAGGTTTCTATTTTCTTCATTGCCTTCAGATGTGGTCTATGGGGACACTTAGGGTGGCCCCTCTCTGGCCAGATGGAGGCAGACAAGGACAAAACTATGATTCTGTCCTGGTTTGAAAGGACCAAAGATAAATAGCCTGTGGTCACAACTGCTCTGAGACTGCCTGAGACCCTACCAGTAACTACCAGTCTGTGGATGCAGCAGTTACTGGGGGCAGCAGCTGTGCCTATGGGGAGGAGAAAGTGGTGACCCAAATGGACCAATCACAGTGCTCCTGACTATGGTGCTCAGTATAAAATGGCTCCTAAGAGCATCTCTGGGTTGGGCTCTGTTTGTTTGTCCTTGTTACCTTGTTGTTCCTGCATCTTGTTCCTCACTGAAGAACAACACTGTTCACCAGGACAGGTTGCCTTCTCCTGCCTCCCCAAGTAGGACTGGCTTGGTTGGTCCAAGGCTGTTGGTGACTGTCACTGGAACCCTGGACTCAGGCACCTCCATTTGCTGCTGAGTTTAGTGTGGGACTTTTTTGGTTGGGAAGTCATTAACAACTGGGTTCTATATTTACATATTTATATATATATGTAATTCACCATCATTATTACTACTTCATTAAACCTATAGAATCATTAAGGTTGGAAAAGACCTTAAAGATCAACAAGTTCCAACCTCCCTGCCATGAGTAGGGAACCACTAAACCAAGTTGCACAAAACCTCTTCCAACCTGGCCTTAAAAACCTCCAGGGATGGGGCATCAACAACCTCCCTGGGCAATCCATCCCAGTTCCTCACCACCCCTACAATGGAGAATTTCTTCCTAATATCTACCCTAAATCCCCCCTCTCTCAGCTTAAAACCATCCTAGTTTTTTTCCAGCCTTCAAGTCTCTCTCTCTTATTCTCCTTTTTACCTTCCCCTTGGATGGTAGCAGGGGAATAACAGAGAGCATCTGTCACCTAGTTATTGGCTAAAACTATCAGATTCTATGAAATTGCATCATGTCTGACAATGGGGCAGCAAAGCAACACCCTCCATATTTGCTAATATGTGGGGTTTTTAAAAACATTGGAGAAAGCATCATGAGCACTGCAAAGCCCACAGGTGCCCAGCTTTGGTGCCTGCATCACCTGCTTCTCAGGGACTGCCAGAATTCACAACTCGAATCTTACACACAGCCCTTATTTACCTTTCAAGCTTTTCTTGTTGTTTCTGACTTGAGATCAGCAGGTGTTAGAAGTACATGCAGGCAGGTTATCAGTCTGTTTGGGACCTCATGTCCCACACAGCCTCCTGTTCTCATTTTTTGTTTTCTATTCCCTTTATTTCTTCCTCCCCAAGCTGACAGCCAAGTCAACAACAACAATCTATTCTTCACAGGCTGGTCCTCATTTTTTTGTTTTCTATTCCTTTTATTTCTTCCTCCCCAATCTGACAGCCAAATCAACAACAACAACAATCTATTCTTCACAGGCTGGTACTGCATGTTCACCCCCCTCAGCCTCCTTTCACACAAATTAGACTTAAACAGCACGACAAAACTACGGAAATGGAGAGAAAAATAATTAAGAAAGAATTAAAAGAACACAGCAAGGGTTCTCCTGGTAACACAGCACTCTGGAAATGCTGCAATCCGTTGGGTCACCAAAGCATGTCCCAGGAATTCCCAAATCCCCTTTGCAGCTGGAACATAAAGTGGAGGTCTCAGTGGAGGACCTTCCTGGAGCAGACCTGTCACAATGGCATTTGCAAGGAGGAACTGGTGCCATGGAACTGGATCTGAGGAGTGGGACACTTGAGGGTGTGAAGCGGTGACTGACATTGAAGACAGACTGAATGTCTCTTCAGTAGAGCCCTGAAATTCTTTGTGCATATTTCCCTTTTCTGTTTTCTGTACTTTTTCCCTCTGATGGCTGGCTCAGTTCTGTTCAGGGTCTCCGTTAACTCTTGGAGTGACCAGACACAAAGACCATTATATTTTTGCATTATTGAGATTCCTGAGCCCAGCACTCACAAACACTGACATACATAGGCTTAATATAAACATGTGGTTGCAGTGAAATGAAATTATTTTCTAGCTTAAGCTTTTTCTTTTTGACTGTGGGACAGCTATGGGTGACTAGTTTACATTTGATGTTGAACTTTTAGGTGAGGTGAACTAGTTAGGTGAGGTGAATCTTGCTTTTAACATTTGCTATCCTCTTTAGCCTCACCCTTCTTGTCTCAGCATGAAGCAAACGAATAAAAAGCTCCTTCTTGTGCAACAACAATACTCTGTAAAGGTAATTATGCCCAGGTCACTGATCAGTAATTTACATACAGGTGGTATCACAGAGAGCTTTAGAGTTTCCTTGGAAAAAAATCAGTAACATTGCAGGAAAATTTGTGTGATTGAAATCAGCAGAGGAGCACTGATAGCAAGTGAGTTATGTCCTTTTATCCCTTTTGATCTATTGATGCTTATGTTGGTCTGGAAATACTGGAATCATTGTATCTACTTAAGGATAAATGTAAATGTGGAGGGCTTGTTTTGAAGTTGAACGTGGAAAATCAACCACCTGAAGTTATGTGAGGGCGTCAGAGAGACACTGATCTCCTCTCCTCAGGTGCTGATATCCTGCCAACCCCCTGGAAATCAAAAGGAGGGTCATCTCTTTGAGCAGACACTTGACCAGGGATCCTCTGGAGGATCCGTCCTTCTTCAGGAACCAGAATGGGAACAGAAAAAATTGGGCATGGCAAAATCATGTGATTCTGGTATCAATCCCTGGTGAATCTTGATGTCTACCCAGCTGGGTCTACAAACCTCTTCCCCTGGAGTGCTGTTGGAGTCATATCCACAAGCTACAGCGTAGGGCGCAGGGTACACGTCTGTCCAGCCCTGGCTTGTACAATTCCTGGTCACATTCCCTGGAAGAAAAGACAAAAGGATGATTTAAATAGAAAAATTCATCTTGCTGTTAAACAAAAGTCTGCCTTTTAAGTCAAGTGCCAGAGCACGTTTCTTGTGGCACTTAAAGTTCTCACACTTTTTCTCTGTTATGAATTGTTTGTATTACATACAACACATAAATAAGAGGGATCCCTTGGGTTGTAAAGTTAAGATCTCAAAAATAAGTACATCTTAATACTGAGGTGTCCACAAAGCATCTCTTCTTATGGTACCATAATGCCAGTTGGACACAGACAGTTGGTTGTTTGGGCTTCACCAATATTGTTTGAGAGCCCTATTGTCATATTGCTTTTCTTTCTGGAAAATACTTAATCTAAATAGAGCAGTGAAGTATTTACATCTTTCCCTCTGCTTCTGACAAGCCAAGACAGGGGTAGATAAAGTGATAATTTCACATCATGCAGGTGAAGTTGGAGGTCTGGGAACTGAATGCTGTTCTCAAAACCCAGACCTTGCTGACAAGGTGCCCGATCAAATGTGATCCCTGGGAAATCTACTGCACTCTTATTTGAGAACCAAACACCTCAAAACTTGGCAGAGAGAGGAGAAAAACCAGATACTGACAACCTGTAATGCCTGTTTTAACATGTACATTCAAAGGCAGGAAGATTTCCTGGACTCTTGATGGCTTAGGGATTTCAACCAGCTGAAGAGAGCCTTTAATAACGATGTTATTAAAGATTTCCTTTATTAAGGACATCTCTCTCCTTCAGCCAAACCAGCAAAACTGTGAAGTTCACAGGCTTCTGTGGTACTTTACCACTCCTGGACTATTGGGGATGTAAGGGGTTTTGCCAGGATAAAGAATTTCTCCCTTTGTAAGAGATCTCTCTTTCCTGTCCCAGCTGGACCTCCAGCCCACATTGGCTAGGGGCTGCACAGACACTAATCAAGAAGAAGAAGGAGAGATCAACAATCTGACCAGGATAGGCCTTTCCCTAAAAGGTTCATAGTCTAGAAGGCCCAGAGAAATGTTTGTGAGATATCAGAAAGAAGCAATACATGCAAAAGTACACTGCAGCTTTTTCCCCTCACCCACCCTGACCACAGGTCCCTACCAAACATTCACATCATCCTGGCATCCCTTTGGTGTCACATCACACAAAACTTCCTGCCATCACCCCTGGGAAGCTGGGACAATAAACCAGCGTGAACAAACAGTAGTCAAAACTCACTCCTTACATAAAGAATCACATCAGTGAAACTGAAGAGCTCTGCAAACATTTGCAACAATGGTGTTCTCTGCACACAGGAATAACAAAACTTCTGCAAACAGGAGCAAGTCAAGTCTGCAGAATTATGAGTCATGAAAACACTCAAGCATCACCTTCAGGAATTTCTGAAGATTGAGTCATCTGAACATCTTCCTAAACCTGCCTTGCACAGAAATAAGCAGCAGCCTTAATTAATTAACTTCTTGATTCTCTGCAACAGGTGGGTTTTGACACTAGAACCTGCCGCTGACATTTGTCTTTACAATAGATCTAAGCTCTGTGCAGGCTCTGGTGCCTTTGTTCATTTTAACAGCCTCTCCAAAAGGAGTTAAATTCAGCACACTTTGGTGGGTTGCTCATCCCCAGGCTTTTCCTGCATGGTCATTGTTTGTATTTCTGATTCCCCAGATTCATACCAGGATCACAAGAGATGTGTGCAAACAAATCAATGACATGACTGTTCAGTACCTTTCTTTTTTTTAGGTCTTATGAAATTTCTGCTATTTCTTCTTCATTACAATGGATCCCATTATCTGAACTTTTCTGCTCCCTATTTCCTGCTCAGGACTCCTCCCCTTTGTTTGGGGATGTCTTTAGTGTTCACAATGGTTTTGATTCATAGAGTCATAGAATCATAGAATCACAGAGATTGGAAGGGACCTCTGAAGATCATCAAGTCCAACCCCCCTGCCAGAGCAGGAACACCCAGGGCAGATCAAACAGGAACATGTCCAGATGCATCTTAAAAGTCTCCAGAGAAGGAGACTCCACAACCTCCCTGGGCAGCCTGTCCCAGGGCTCCCTCATCATCACAGTAAAGAAGTTTCTCCCCATGTTGAGGTGGAACTTCCTGTGTTGTAACTTGGTGCCATTTCCCCTCATCCTTTCACAGGCACCACTGAACAGAGACTGGCCCATTCCTGACCCCCACCCTTCAGATATTTATAGACATTAATAAGGTTCCCTCTCAGTCTTCTCTGCTCAAGACTAAACAGCCCCAGGTCTCTCAGCCTTTCCTTGTATGATAGATGTTCCAGTCTCTTCATCATCCTTGTAGCCTCCATTGGACTCTTTCCAGTGTATCCCTGTCCCCTCTTGAACTGGGGAGCCCACATTCTTTGCTTCCTATTCCTTACTCTTTGCTTCTTATTCCTAGTGAACTAAGGAGTATTTATTTCAGCTTAATTTCCTCATAAATTTCATATTTCTTCTTTTTAGATGCACTTAAAATCGTAGAATCAAAGAATGTTATGTTGGAAGGGACCTCAAGGATCACCCAGTCCCACCTTTCTAGGTAATACTATAGTTTATATTCATCACAATTGTTTGATTCTTTTGTAATTCCTCTTGTGAACACTTTCAAAAGTTGCCTTAATGCTTTAGAAGACATGGGTACTAAGGTTGAGAGAAGCAAAATGATACAGCATCACTGGGATTAAACAATACTAATAAAAAATGTTCCTGATTTTGGGAAAACTCTCTGGGAAAGTCCCAGAGAAGTTTTTTTCTACCATCCTTTTTTTTTGCTGCTCATGTCACTTTTTGATGTGCAAATTCACATACAGGGTGTGATACAACAAACCTTTCTCATAACTCTCATGTTCCTCACTAGACGTCTGGGGAGTGCAAAAAGGACAAGGTTAGATGATGTAGATTCTACCACACCACAATTTTGGCTCAAGTGGTGGATGATGCCTCCCCTCAGAGCAAAGAACATTTCTAATTACTGTTACTTAGCAGATTACTTTCTGTACTGAAAAGGAACATAAATTTGAAAAAAGTGCCTTTGTTCTTCCTCGGAGGTTTCCAGGCAGCAAACTGAAACTGAAGAATTAAACTGAGAGTTTTAAGTTGCAAGGTCAGATCCCTGCTCTGCCACAGACCTCCAGAGAAACTGCAGCCAGAGCTTGTGATCTCAGTTTCCCCACAAATAGTAGGACTTTGGTAATAAAGTCTGATCTGCCAATTTGGAAGGCAAAGTGTTCAAAGCACTAGAAGTTTAAAATGCTCTTTTCCAAAACCATTTCCCATGAACGTGTTTCTCACTACTTTGTGTGACACAAATTCTTCCTAGAATGATGCATCCATTAAATACATTGAAGTTTTAAAATGTAAGTGGCAGCATCAGAAAAGACAGAGCTTCTGGGCTTGCAAATGGCACCTCCAGCCTTTGGAAGTTCATAAGGTTTCCAAAAGTTTGCCATTTCCTCTCAGACTGAAGCTGAACCTTTATAACCTGTATTTCTGGAGAATTAATGAGAAAGCAGACCAAGGGTTTACAACTCAGTAACACTTAATAGCAATGCACAGTGGAGGAGACTCACTGTAAGAGCTGGAAAGCAACCTATGACCTGCAGGTTGTACTCCAGTCTCTCCTCTACACTGTGGGAAAAGGAGGTTTAAGTCCCTGGTGTGAACAGAGTGCCTTCAGTAGGGTGGTATCAGGTAACAGCCATGAAATGATCTGTCTTTTGTGAGGTTTGTATTTCATTTTGGTCAGAAATGTTGCTTGCAACTGTCAAACTGGTGCATCTACTCCTAAAATCCACATCCATTTCAACGAGATGAGGTTTTCAACTTAAATAAACATATAACTAAATAGTTTTATTTAAAGAAACCACAACTAACTCTCACTTACAATAACAATAATCTCATAATAGGTCTTATCAGAACTCAGCTTCCTGCTTTCACAGAATCAGTGGAAGGTTGAGGTTGGAAGGGACCTCTGGAGGTCATCTGGTCCAACCCACCTGCTCAAGCAGGGTCACCTGCAGCTGGTTACTTGGAAGCTTCCAAGGATGGAAACTGCATCTGAGCAACCTGTTCCAGTGCTTGGTGACCCTCATGGTAAATCATCACAGAGAGACAATTAGAGAGGTCTCAGCACCCCAGCTCTTTCACTGCCATCTTTCCTCTTTGCAGCCTTCCAGTATCTGAAGGGGCTACAGGAAAATGGAGAGGGACTTTTTACAAGGGCATGGAGTGAGACGACAAGGGGGAACAGTTTCAAGTTAAAAGAGGGGACAGGAGATTTAGATGAGATATTAGGAAGAAATTCTTTGCTGTGAGGGTGGTGAGACCCTGGCCCAGGTTGCCCAGGGAGGTTGTGGAAGCCCCATCCCTGGAAGTGTTGAAGGGCAGGTTGGATGGGGCTTGGAGCAACCTGGTCTAGTGGGAGGTGTCCCTGCCCATGCAGGGGGGTTGAACCTGATGAACTTTAACATCCCTTCCAACGCAAACCATTCTCTGATTTTATGAAGCTGTTGTATGTAGAGTACACATATGTCCAATCAAACACAGCTCTTCCTCGTGTGCCACCTCTGCCTGCATTCCTTGAAAATCTGCTCCCAGTGTGCCAGGGTCATTAATGATCATGTCCATGAAGCATGAGGAGTGACTGCTCCTCCTCTCCATACTTTTGCATCTTTCTAGCATCATGTCTTCTGTAGGACAGAACTTCACCATCTGGCCCAGCAGCTGCTCCTGGTTTAAACAAATGCTTCTTTAGAGTTTACAAAGCCCCTTCTAATTTCCTAATTTGCATGGCTTGATGGCATGTCTGTTATGGGAATGGAATTGATGTCAGCATTTATCTGAATGGTCCCATCTTTCCTTCTGATTAGCTCGTGGTGCTGCACACGCTCTGGTACACAGCATCAATCCTGAGCCCCTTTTTATCACCTGCAAGGTTTCAGTAACTCTCTGCTCTGGGCAGCAAAGGCAGGGGGAAGGACATTCCTCTC